ATTATAGGTTTAAGGAAACATGCAAGAATGAAGACACTGATACTTTGCAAAGTGAGATAATTCGCCTCCGAATCTCCATTCATCTGTGTGTCGGACCCTGCATTGAGCACATACACTATTACTTTCATATACACACAACAAACAACTGCGTACTATTAATAACCCCACGTGTCTTCGCCCGTTAATTCCCACACGCATACCGGGGAGAGTGCTGTATCTTGCCAAATCTTCATCGTCACTTGGCCCGAAACTCGAATAGCTTTTGAGTAACACGTCCCCTCCTGTACCCCCCAGTGTGGCATGCTCAAACTGTCCGTTCCTGTTATATCCCGCACTCCTAGTGGTGCTGCCAGAATTGTCAGGCATTGCCAAGTCGTGTTGAGATAGGTATGTGAGAAGTAGAGAGAAACTGGATCTCGTATGGGCGCTTGGTCTGCTATCAGTTAGAATGTATGAGCAGACGTAGCGGTGAGGGGTATATGAGAGGACAAGGAACCCCCGTACAAATACTTGTGGTGTCAGCAGACAGAAAGCACGTGCGAGGTTCAACAGAAGCAAGGGATATGACAAGCTGAAGCGTTGCTAGGCTCATTAATCGCGAGATCGAGGGATGAGAGTGACCAACTATCATATCGGTGGTAGGGGACAGATATACAGGTCAGCTGGTTGGGTACCATTATCAAACGGACTACCGTATATGACCAGAACTCGCTGACATCATCGACCGCTTAGAGTCAACATGTGAAGTCACAACAATCAAGCACCACGCATTATCATCAATCACATACACGGCGACATTGCAGCACACACAACCAAACAACACGCTCTATCACCAGCCACTTACACAATGGCATTGCTAGACTGTGGGCCTCCATGGTGCTCGTCTGTGAGCGAAGTGTAGCGCATATACGTTCCCTTCCTCGTTGGTATCCTGTGGTTCCTATCTTTATACCTCATCTTTTGCGTATCCGTATCCCTATTCCTATTCGACTCCCTATTAACCTCCATCTCACTGACAACTACCCTATGCTTCCCGCCGCTCCAAGCCCTCTTCCCGCCACTATCTGTGGCATTTGTCTTGCTCTTCTCAATAATGTCTCGACCTGGGTCTGTACTGGTAGACTCGTCCCCACTGACACGCACTTGAGACGGGCTGCGACCCAGCAGAGACAGCAACGAACGCCGCGCACTACTACTGCGGCCTCGATTCTTCTTACTCTACAATGTGAGTAAGTGTGTGATAGAGATTCGGGTATGGATAAGAAGAGAGAATTTGTGGATGAATAACTCCGGCCAACAGGAGAACGTACTGAGAAGAACACGTGACTTGGAGGAGGCTATATGTATGTGTGTGTGTAATATATGTATATACATA